AAGGGCATAAACGGGATCGTCAAACCGGGAGAGATCCTAGCTATGCTCGGTCCCTCGGGAAGTGGCAAAACCAGCTTGTTGACGGCTTTAGGAGGACGAGTTAGTGAAGGGAAAGGGAAGCTCACAGGAAACATATCCTACAACAACAAGCCATTCTCTAAAGGCGTGAAGCGAGCCACAGGTTTCGTGACTCAAGACGATGCTCTTTACCCTCACTTGACTGTCACGGAAACGTTAGTCTTCACTGCCCTTCTCCGCCTTCCAAATTCTCTTACAAAACAAGACAAGATCAAACAAGCTGAGGCGGTCGTGACTGAGTTAGGTCTAGATAGATGTAAGAATACTATCATTGGAGAACCTTTCTTGAGAGGTGTTTCGGGTGGTGAGAGGAAAAGGGTCAGCATAGGGCAAGAGATTCTTATAAACCCTAGTTTACTATTTCTTGACGAGCCTACTTCTGGTCTTGACTCAACCACGGCTCAGAGGATTGTGTCTATTTTGTGGGAGCTGGCTCGTGGTGGAAGAACGGTCGTGACAACAATTCATCAACCTTCTAGTAGGTTGTTTTATATGTTTGATAAGATTCTTCTCTTATCAGAAGGTAACCCTATCTACTTCGGGCTTGGATCCAACGCTATGGATTATTTTGCTAGCGTTGGATATTCTCCATCCGTTGAAAGGATTAATCCATCAGATTTTCTCTTGGATATCGCAAACGGTTAGTCTCTCATTCTGATTTCAGGTAATCATCCATATTGTCTCTTTGTTGAAACTAAGATCAAAACATGGACATGTTATATATATTTATAGGTGTTGGATCAGATGAGTTCCAAAGACCTGAGGTTTTGAAGGAATCTCTAGTTGCGGTTTACAAGACAACTTTGTTGGACAATGTTATCAATGATCTTAAAGGACAGGATGGTCACTGTACCCAATCAATAGAGAATCTTGGAGATTCCAAGCATTTTGGAGACTGGCCAACGACTTGGTGGCAGCAATTTTGTGTTCTCTTGGAGAGAGGTCTTAAGGAAAGGCGACACGATTCTTTCTCTGGCCTAAAGATTGGTCAGGTTCTTGTCGTGTCTTTTTTATGTGGCCTCCTTTGGTGGAAAACGGATCTTTCTCACTTACAAGATCAGGTATTTAGCTCGATATCAAAATTTAAATATTTTTTTAAAAATATATAAATATATAATATATATTTTTGGGGTCTATTTGTGTCATTGTGTATATGCATATGTATGATGTAATTACTTGTGGTTTATTGTTGCAGATAGGGTTATTGTTCTTTGTGTCATCCTTCTGGGCATTCTTCCCTCTCTTCCAACAAATCTTCACGTTTCCTGAAGAGAGAAGAATGCTTGAGAAAGAACGTTCCTCGGGGATGTACAGGCTCTCGTCTTACTTCATGTCAAGAATTGTTGGGGATCTCCCAATGGAGCTTATTCTACCAACCATTTTTCTCATAATCACATATTGGATGGCTGGTTTAAACCCTAAACCTGCAAACTTCTTTGTGACCCTTCTGATCCTCCTCGTCCACGTCCTTGTCTCTGGTGGGCTAGGACTAGCCCTAGGTGCCCTAGTGATGGACCAGAAGACAGCCACGACACTCGGGTCAGTTATAATGCTCACGTTTCTGTTAGCAGGGGGATACTACGTTCGACATGTCCCAGTGTTCATCGCTTGGATGAAATACATATCGATAAGTTACTATACCTATAAGCTAATGATATTGGGTCAGTACACAGAGAATGAGTGGTATCCTTGTGGTGAAAATGGGAAATCGAAGTGTCATGTTGGTGATTTTGAAGGTATTAAGCTTATAGGGTTAAATAGTGGATTGGCCTCTTCCTTTGCGTTGGTTGTGATGCTCGTTGGCTATAGAGTTGTTGCCTATATTGCGTTGATGAGAATTGGTAAGACCAAGGCTGGCTAATACTTAGGTATCATCTCCCGCTTTTCTTTTTTGGGTTTTAGCATTTTTTGAGTAAGATCGAATGTATAACACAAATAAGTTCTTCTTGCATTTTTTTTTTCGTTAGAATCTTTAGTATAATCTTTTTTTTAACCCCACTTTAGTATAATCTATTTAAGATGAAATTTATGATGAACTATATGTTTCAAAATACTTTGGCCTCTTTTGATGTTTTGGTCCTGCTCAAGTGGTCCTCTGATAAGTCAAATCTCAATAAAGAGAGTTATATCAGAATCTAATGTGAAGAACATGTTCTGTGTGTGTTTAAAAGGAAAGTTTAAAGCAATTTAATGTTTGCTTAGCGGTTATACGTTCAAGTCCAACACACTTTACACGTTGTAATTGTTCGAACATGTAAAGGTATATGACCTCACGCGTTTTCTAAATTCGAAATGCTAGCTGATGCATCTGTGGTGCAAAGTAAATATACTATGGACTTCAAACAGTATCATTTAGAGAAATAATGTCTTCAAAGAATTGTCTACAAATTTATATTTAAATTTGTTTCAATTTATTTATAACAACTATATATTGAGGTTCGAATTGTTGAAAGATTGTGCTGAATTAAAAACTATCTACATACTAATCTAGACAAAAAGATGACAAACCGTAAGTATCTCCGATGTAAAACTCTATTTTTTTCCTCTAAAATAAAATAAAAGTGATTATGAAGTAAAAATGTCTAATTTTACTATATTTCTAATTCTATAACGGAGCAGTGAACAAAGAAAAAATACATTATTTTATTTATGGAATAAATCTTAATATGGAGTAACAAAAGAAGTGGAATTAGAATATTTTTTATTCTATAATCAGTTTTATTTCATTTTAAAATATAAAATGGAGTTGAGTTAGAGATATCCAAAGAATCATGACATGAGCCTAAATTTCAGAATGAAATAGCCACCAATGAAATAGCCACCAATTCCGCATATCTATTACAAGTGGGTTTGAATTAATTATGCACACATGTAGGCTCCATAAACCGATGCATTTAGAAAGCATCATGCCTTTTTAATTTTCTTTTAGAAAAAAAGACCTTCGTGATCACCTCACGGTCCTCACCTTTTCTCCTTTAAAGCTTTAACAAAAAATGTAACTTCACAAAGAAAAGCATACTTTAGAGACTGGCACTATGTACGTATATACGTGTACAACTCATTATTTATTAAATGCTTCCATGTATGGTAAAGCCTTTTAAAATTCAATAATATTATGACTTTAAATATTTATTACTTAATTAAAAGAAATTTTCTTTTTTTACCAAAGAATCTTTTTGTCTAGAATTTTCTTAAGCTTTCTTTAAGATGATCTTATATTAAGAAAATAAATAAGTTAATACAAGAGATATACAAAAAGCAGAGTGCTTCAAGGTGGGAGTAGAGCCAACCGCATCCCTCTTCTAGAGCTTGTTCGCTGAAGATGGCATCCCTTGCTCGGCAGCGGCAATTTCAAAGTTTGTGTGGAGGTTGTTTTCCTCATTGCCTCGAAAGACATATCACTAAGTTTTTTCTTTAGCTCACGGCCTCCAAATCCATATCATATATATCTTTTTTTTTAATTTGGACCTTTTATCCAGATTAAAGAATATTATACGCTAACTGAATAGCGATCGCAGAGTACCTAACCAACACATTTAGCAGTTATGCAAATCGTTGAACCAACTTGTCGTATCTTTGTTAATGTTCAAAATTATTTTCTTATAAAATAAACGTGTGAGCATGTCTTCTCTTTGAACAAGAATTCTCCACGTCCATTAGAATCTAAAAGAGAAAAGAATTATCAAGAAGAAGAAGAAGAATAAAAAAAACAAATCAATATATTAAGGCTTGTGAACTATCCAGCATGGTCTATTGTTTAAACTTGTCAACTTCTAAGGCCATTTATAGTATTTCTTGAGTGAAAGAAAGCCTAACTACTCTTTTCATTTGAGTATGGAAATATATAGAAGAAAACATATACTCTTATGGGAACTGAGGTTAACATTCAAAAACTCCATTCTGTTGTTTGAAGTTTCTATAATAATTTTAACAATAAAAAGATTTATACGATAAAAAATTAACCAGGCGTAGGAACAAAATTAATCAGATTTAAATTAATAGTGAAATTATGTCGTCTACATTGATTAGACAATCTCTGATGTATCATATTTTGTCATTATATTTCATTAGTTTTCTTAAATCATATATACGTGTCTCAAATTAACCTAGCCTTTCTATTTTTATAGTTAGAACTTTTGTAGTTTGCACACTGATTCAATAGTTTTCTGTCCTTTATAGTAATCTTTTATTCATAATTTTTTTGTCTAGTTTGACTCTTTCATTCAAGGCTTGCCTAACTCTCCCAACACGTGTACATTTCACACGAGCAGGACATTGCCTTCCACGCATGTCTAAAGCCTGCTCAACAGATTTTTATCTGTCGAACAGTTAGTGCTTCTTCCTTTTCTTTTCCCGACTGCAACGTAGTGAATGCTTTGCGAAAAGATAAATCGAACTAATCTTAATTATTTGGACACAAATATGATAGATACACATCGTTGTTAGGCTTTTTCAGAATTCTAGAAGAAAGGACAACTGGCTTCACACATGTTGATTTATTTCCTCTATCCCTGACGACGGTTCATAAACCCGAACGGCAACTTAACATATATAATCGAATAATTGACTTTGAAAGCTTTGGTGATGTTACTATAACTAGTTAGAGGATGTGCACAGTAAACTATATGGAAAGTTTAAATGTCACGAATGAAACAAGAAAAATAAATTACTTCTAATGTTCTCACGAAAACATTCCGCACATTAATCTCGCTCGAAAAAAAATGTTACAGCTCACTGACAAGGTCGGCAGTTTCATAAACGTGGCAGTATGTCAATGGTCCAAATGGTCCACAAAGAAGATCCTGTTAAGATTTTACAACAGTAAGACAAAGGTGACCGTACTTATCCTTGAAGAGCCTTTGCCTTTTACGCCAGCCTATATAAAGCAGCAGCTACTTGCATTGTTGTCCGAAAGAGATCGACGAACATAAACATATTATTCTTGATAACAGCTGAAGAATCGAAATCAAAGTAAAGAAGAGAATGGGTGTTAGAGAGAAGGATCCGTTAGCCCAATTGAGCTTACCTCCGGGTTTTCGTTTCTACCCGACAGATGAAGAGCTTCTTGTTCAGTATCTCTGTCGGAAAGTAGCAGGCTATCATTTCTCTCTCCAGATCATCGGAGATATTGATCTCTACAAGTTCGATCCTTGGGATTTGCCAAGTAAGCAACAATTAAATTTTTCGTAGGGTGTTATTTATAACAGTCGTAACTTTGGGTTTAATTTTGAGAAAAAATAAAACTACGAGACTATTTTTTTTTTTTTTTTTTTTGAATTGAATGTTAAATTTAATTCAAAAGAAAAAATACATTGCAATACAACTATGTGTATCTTTTCCTATCTGTTTTAATCAAAAGCAGAAGAACTAGAGTTTTTTAAAAAGAAAACTTGAAGAAGACTCAACAGCTTATTTTCCCTCGCCTTTTACCTTCTTCCAACATCCATAACAATTATACTCAGCTCTCACTCCTACTGAGTATACCAGCTCTCACTCCTACTGGAACCAACCTCAACACAAGTCTATTTAGCTCTCACTCCTACTAAATAGCCAGCCCTCACTCCTACTGGAACCCAACTTGCATCAAGCCAAAGATACTTCCATTCTCCACACTTCACTTCATCTCGAACCAAACCAGAATCCCATACCACTTTCTAGCTCTTTATCACCTTTCCTCTTAATAATTGTGTACTTATTTCTCAAATTTTTATCGATCAGTTTGATCAATAACGTTGTAGAGGAGGAAGGTTCACCATGTCTCCTCTTATTTCTCTCTCTCCATATTGTATGAACCGTAGATTGCAGAATGTATCTCAGCGTGAAGAGTTTTACTTTACCCATTGTATGATCAAGCGCCAACTCAATAACTTCTTGCCAGTTTGTAGTGAACTGATTTCCAAGAACACCTCTCATCAGAGAATCCCATATCTGTGAAGAATATGGGCATTCAAAAAAGAGATGTGCAGTAGTCTCAAGTGGAACCTGACAGAACACACAATCAATTCTTGTATCTCCATTCCAGCTTCTCATTCTTTCCCCCGTAGGAAGCTTACCACGTAATGCAGTCCACAACATGAAGGCGTATTTAGGGGTGTAGTGCTTGAACCATACCATCTTGTACCAATAACAATTCAAGTTACTCTCACGAATAACAAGCCACGTCTCTTTAGCTGAGAAAAAATTCTTATACACTCCTTTACTATTCATCCATTTGGAGACATCTTCCTCTTCCGTAAAATTAGCTTTATAGTTCTCAATCTCCTTTTCTACACTATTCAGAATAGCTAAGCGGTGATTTCTCTTTTTATGCCTTCTACAATCAACCACCTTCGCGTTTACAGAGATACCCAAGTCAATATAACCTCTATCTCTCAAAGCATCTTTCAGACAACCAATCGGGGACCAAGAATCATACCAGAAGCAAGCCTTCTGCCCATTCTTCACTTCTACTTTGTAAAAACTTTACGAGACTATTAATGTAAAGTTCCTTATCTTTTTGGTGTTCTGTTGTGTGTGCGCGCGCAGATAAGGCTTTGTTTGGAGAGAAGGAATGGTACTTCTTTAGCCCGAGAGACCGGAAATATCCGAACGGGTCAAGACCCAATAGAGTAGCCGGGTCGGGTTATTGGAAGGCAACGGGTACTGACAAAGTCATCACGTCGGATGGTCACCGAGTCGGGATTAAAAAAGCTTTGGTTTTCTACGCCGGAAAAGCTCCAAAAGGCACCAAAACAAACTGGATTATGCACGAGTATCGACTTATCGAGCATTCTCGTAGCCACGGAAGCTCCAAGGTACTAATAACTAAACAACACATGAGTGAAAATTATAAATAAAAAAAATCGAAAATCAAATCGCTAACTTAGTTTTTCTTACAGTTGGATGATTGGGTGTTATGTCGAATCTACAAGAAGATGTCGGGATCTCAGAGACAAGCTGTTGTTTCTCCAGAACAAGCTAGCCTTGAAGACCAAAGCACAAACGGGTCGCCGTCGTCTTGTTCGTCTCAGCTCGACGACGTTATTGATTCGTTCCCGGAGATGAAAGATCAGTATTTTAATCTTCCTCGGATGAATTCGCTCAGGACGATTCTCAACGGTAACTTCGATTGGGCTAGCTTAGCAGGTCTTAATCCCATACCGGAGCTAGCTCCGACCAACGGAGTATTGAGTTACGGTGGTTACGACGCGCTGCGAGCGGCGGAAGGTGAGGCGGAGAGCTGGTGTAAGGATCAGCAGCAGAACACGAGCGAGTTGACTCAGAGCTTTGGGTACAGTTCGAGTGGGTTCGGCCTTTCGGGTCAAATATACGAGTTTAGGTAATAAGTTAATGTAATTCGTGACCCCCACCCATATGGTAAACAGGTAAAAGGTAAAAAATCCCTTGAGAGGGTAGGGTGGCAATTATGTAAATAAATAGGAAATTCTAATGGGCCTTAACTGATTTGGTTAGGCTTAAGATTCCAGAAAGCGAAAGTCCTGGAATTAGTTCTGATCTAATTTTACGGGCCTAAAATGTAATAGCCAGCAATACGTTGATGCTCACATGAGAAAAATAAATGATTATTCAAGATTATTAATAGACAATTTCTCATCCAATTTTGAGTTTATTGTTTTTAGAAATCTCAATATTTAGCGTGTAAATGATGAGACTTGTTGATGTAATAATGATAATAGTCTTCATAAGAACTTATGAACTTTGCTTCTCTTAGAGAAGTTCACTTCCTGCTACTGCAAATGATTCCATATCCAGAAGACGCCCCACGAATGCAATCCAAACCTAACAGTGCATGCATGTCCGGCTATGAAACTTGTAGAAAATATTTGGACCATATTTTAAAAACTATTTGGGTCGAAATAATTTAAGAAAAATAAAATAAAAAGATTGTTGATGTGGAAGTTTAAACCCTTGAACTGAAACTTCCGTACTACTAATGAGTTTGCGAGTTCAACTAATGAAAACTTTGTAAAACTAAGGACCCATATTTTACTTGTCTTTAAAAAAGCTGGAAGCTGGTGCTTCTTCCGCTTCCTCCCAGAGTCCCAGGACCGGTACTAAGTGTATGTTCGGTTTCTTGCTTGATTTACACCGGTAAAAATGCAGGTCTTACATTCATAAGAGGGTAGAGAAGATGTCCTCAAGTCATCCTCACCCACCAACCACTGGCAACACAATTCCAAGCTTAGCCGGGTTTTGGAAATCTGGTGCCTCCCAAGATTCCATCAACTTTTGTGGATAGATTAAAAAACATGAACTGAACCTCGAAATGTGCGACAGTTATCCAAATGTAGTTTGTAGCTGCGGATCCACATTGACCATTAGGGGTGGGCACTTTATCCGATATCCGAACTCGTACCCGAACCCGACCCGAAATATCTGAACCGAAATCCGAACCGAAGTACCAAAATACCCGAACGGGTATTGAGTTAGGAGAGTTTGGATATCCGAACCCGAACCGATAATACCCGAACCCGAACGGGTATCCGAAGATAACCGAACATATGTATATATACCTATTTATTCCTAGTTTATTTTGTCTCATTTTATTAAAACTATTTATATTAATGTTATAAATAGTTTAATATCAGATAATATACATATAATTGTAAAAAGAAAGTGATTTGTTACTTATTTAAAATACATATTAAGCTTCTTATTTCATACTTTAAACAAAATTTGCATTCAAAATTCGAAAATAACAACCAAAATAATGACTTTTATTTTCAATAATTTTTTTTCAAACTTATTAGTTGTCTAACTTATTGAACATTTTAAAAACAGTTAAGTTAATAGTTAAATTTTAAATACATAAAACTTAACTAATAAAGAATTTAAAATTTTTCTTCCAAAATCTAAATATCCGAACCCGACCCGAAATAACCGAACCCGAACTAAAAATATCCGAACCCGACCCGATATGTAAAAATACCCGAACGGGTTCTAAACCCTAATACCGAAATACCCGACCCGAACCCGAACGCCCACCCCTATTGACCATAATCACTGTTTTGCTTTAATAATGTATTAAATTTCAAAGGTATTTCTCGCTCATTTGAGCTTCAGTCCCTTAATTTAACCGCGACCTTCAGATCTTCAGTCTGACGCTCTCCCAACTGAGCTATCCCCGCATTGTGATAAAGCATGTCAATGTTGTTTTAATAGACTTGCATTTACAGTATCATCTATGATGAGAAGGTGTTTTGATTTTGCAGGAAAAGGTTTCTCAACAACTGTTGTAGACATAGAAGCTATATTAACCAAGACGTTATAGCACATAATCCAGTAAACCGAGCAAAGGAACAATCTTGGGCAAAGAGCTCCTTATGGATACAGGAGTAAGATGAAAATACACATCCGTAGCATATATTGTTACATTTTGATGTTTGTTTGATGTTTAAAGTAATGGTCCCTCATTTACGACTTGTAATGTTTTGGACATTCCTTTGTATCTAGTTATTTTAGAAAGATGGGAATTTACTAAAAGCATCAGTCATGGTCATTGGTTAGTAACATTCCCATAAAATAAAGAGACCCTAAAATAAATCCATAAACTATAAATTTCTGTAACTGAATGAGAAGTACAAACTCCTTTGTTAAGATAAGCATGATCCTCAACAAAACCAAAAATAGATTAACCACAACCTTCAAAACTTTTGAAACCAAATAAAAAAAAAGAATCATTCATACAATTTCTTGGCAGAAAGAGTTCTCTGTTTTTTGGTAACGTCCTTTGAAGCTTTCGCTTCATACTTTTCATCCAACGCTATAGCTTTAGCCATAGCTTTCTTCTTCCTTGCGTTCTTCGTTCTCTTCATCTGTTTTCCTTTCTTCGCGCTTGTCCTTTAGAAAACAAGTAATCATCAAGAATTAAACAAAAGGTAGCGAGGAGGTCAAAAGAAAACATCAAAAGTTTTACGGCGTATATTAAATTTATTTGTTTCATGCCTTACACTCGAGGAACGTAACAAATGGTAAAGAAAATATTGTCTCATTCAACAACTTGCATAAGTGTTACCTTCTAGACCCAATCAAAGACTTATATTAAACCAAACAATGGCCTAATAATGTTTTATTCGATTTAAGTACAAAACTAATGAAATTTCAAATTTGAGCTTATAATTGATTAGGTTGTGAACACTTACAGGCTACGTGTACGAGCAGCTAGTTTCGCGTCTCCGGTCTCCGAAGTGTCCATAGCTAACGAAATTAAAGAATAAAGATTAAAAAATTAAACAGCTGAAAATCTTCAGGAAGTCGAAGAAACGAGTAATAATAAGTAAAGACGTGATTTTTCACCTTGAGGAGCAGATTCAGAGACGCTCTTAGTTTCAGAAACGTCCATGGAAACGGCGTCGTCTCTATTCTTCTTGTTCCTGCTCTTCGTCATGCCGCCGATTTTTGGTTTCTCGGCTAGGGCAGACGAGAAAAAAGACGGAACAAAACGAAATTTGAGATTATATAACTTATATTGTTGGGGGGGGTCAATTTACTAATATTCGGGTCCCTTTATTGGGCCCTATAGTTTTCTCTTTAAAGCCCATTAGCTGACTTTTTATTCGCTTAAGAACAAAATTATATTTCTTCCTTCATCGTTGCGCCTCGCTGGTTTTTCAAAATTCTTTCTCTCTGGAATCTCTCTCTCTCCCTCTCTTCCTCTTCTCTCTCTCTAATATTGTTCTTCTCGTTGGCAAAAAGGTTTTGTAATTACTTTTTTTTGTTTTTCAGTTTTATTTTTTCCGTTGTTGTGCTAATTGTTTCCGACAAACTTTCCATATCTGCAATATTGAAAGATTCTCTGCGTTATAATCATTGTCAGATTCCGATGTGCCGGTGAAAAATGACTATACCGCCGTCTCCGAGGATGATAACAACACCGGAGGAGACGATGGAATCTCTTAGCCAACAAGATGCGTGCGAGAGGTTGAAGGATAAGTCTCCGTCCCTTCCCTCTCGACGTACTTCACAAATGCCGTCGAATCGTCAATCTCTTCCGACGAGCCTCCGTGATACGATTTCTCCGGAGGGAGAGGGAAAAGAGAAGGACTGGAACGAGAGAACAGAGCAGATTGCGGAGCTTGAATGGGTTAATAACGTTGAGTATTTCATCACCAAGGTTAGATTACTTCTTTCGCAAGTTACGGTGATGATATTGAATACATTACATTACATGTTTTTTTTTTTTGGTACGTGCGTTTAAATTAAATTGTTTCTTTGTTTTGATTATTACAGAAACTTTGTGTTTGGTGTCGGGTTGGTAATGGGCAGTGGCACTTAGGGAAGATTCAATCTTCTACTGGTGAAGCGGCTTGTGTTGCCTTGTCTAACACGGAAGTAAGTTCTTTTGAATTGTTTAAATTTTTTTCATATGATATGGATTTGTGATTATGTGTTTATCTTTTAAAGGTTGTGGAAGTATCAATGAAAGAGATTCTCCCAGCAAACCCAGAAATTTTGGAGGGAGTTGATGACCTTATACAGCTTAGTTATTTGAATGAACCTTCTGTTCTTTACAACCTCAGAATCAGATACTCACAAGACTTGATTTATGTTAGTTTTCTATCTGATTTTGTTTTTTAATTTATTTGTCATTTTAGTTTTATTCTTTTTGACACAGTTTCATGTTAATTACTCTATTTTAGAGTAAAGCAGGACCAGTTTTGATTGCAGTGAATCCGTTTAAGAAGGTCCAGATTTACGGTAACGAGATTCGATCAGCTTATCAGAAGAAGGCTTTGGTTGCTCCACATGTGTATGCAGTGGCTGATGCAGCTTTTGATAAGATGATGAGAGGTGAGAGCATCAACCATCTTCATGAGTTTTCCATGGTGTTTACACAGTTATTGTATGCTGTTTACATTTTGATTTTTTTTCCTTTACACAGAGGAGAAGAATCAATCTATCATCATAAGGTAGGACGAGGCCTTTTATTTAGAATTTTTTTTCTGATTTGATATCAGTAATTGATTAATGGTGTCATTCCATAGTGGAGAAAGTGGAGCTGGGAAAACTGAGACAGCAAAATATGCAATGCAGTATTTGGAAGCTCTTGGTGGAGGCAACTTTGGGGTGGATAATGAAATCTTAAAGACTAACTGTATACTTGAAGCTTTTGGGAACGCTAAAACATCAAGAAATGATAACTCTAGCAGATTCGTATGGAATCACATTCCTCTTCTTTAAATTTGAAAGTTTAATGTAACTCTTGTTCTGTAATCCATAAGTGGTCCGGATTTATAGTAGATCTGATTTGATGCAGGGGAAACTGATGGAGATTCATTTTAATGCAAAGGGAAAGATATGCGGAGCCAAACTTGAAACTTGTGAGTAAGATTTGGACATTTGTCTTATCTGTTATATTTTCTTGAATATTGAGCTCACATGTATTTTTGTTTCCTGTGACTACTTGGTGCTGAATAACCACAGTTCTTCTAGAAAAGGTAATTTTGTTGCTGAGAAGTTTTAGTCAGATTCCACATATTAGCTAATTCATGGACTAATAAGTAGTCTCTTTGGAACAGTCAAGAGTAGTTCAGCTTTCCAATGGGGAGAGATCCTACCATATCTTTTATGAATTGTGTGCAGGTGCTTCACCAATTCTTAAAGGTAACTTTTCAAACCGAAATATCTAAGAACATTGAACGCATATGATATGTTTGGAGGTACTGAGAAGCTAGAAGTTGGTAGACCAATCCTTATATGATTTTATTTGCAGAGAGATTGAATCTTAAAGAAGCAAGTGAATACAATTATTTGAACCAGAGCAACTGCTTAACCATTGATCGCATTGATGATGCTCAGAAATTTCACAAATTGATGGTAACTCTTTCTATTTCCTATGCCTTTCTCTGTTTCGGATAAAATTAATATGCGAAAATTTTTGTGATTTCTTATTTTGTCAGATATTGCTTTGTTGTTGTAGGAAGCTTTCAACATTGTTCAGATTCCTGAAGAATATCAAGAACGTGCATTTGCACTGCTTGCAGCTGTATTATGGTTAGGGAATGTATCTTTTGAAGTGATTGACAATGAAAACCATGTGGACGTGGTAGCAGATGAAGGTAGAATATATTGTCTTGTCATCATCTATCATGTTGAATTACTGAACTAGTGATGCTTATTAATTTCACTCTTGTTACTTGCAGCTGTGACTAACGTAGCTATGTTAATGGGATGCAACCCAGAAGAGCTTATGGTGGTTTTGTCTACATGCAAGCTCCAAGCTGGTAAAGATTGCATTGCTAAAAAACTGACACTGCGACAGGTTTGTTTAGTTTCCATATATATATCTCACAAAAGTTGTTAGTTCTATACGTTAAAAATGTCTGTATGTGCAGGCGACTGATATGAGGGATTCACTAGCAAAAATCATCTATGCCAGCCTTTTCAACTGGCTTATTGAGCAAATAAACACTTCACTTGAAGTTGGTAAATTAAGAACAGGAAGATCTATTAGTATCCTTGATATATATGGGTTTGAGTCATTTAAGGTTTGTAACCTTGCTCTAGTTTTGTTAGTCTTTATTTCTTTTGACTGTGTAATGATCCAGTCTCCTTTGTTTCAGAATAATAGCTTTGAACAATTTTGCATAAACTATGCAAATGAAAGACTCCAACAACATTTCAACCGACATCTATTTAAACTTGAACAAGAGGTGATCTTCTTTCTCTGAAGTCTTTAACTATATGTAGATGTGTTTTTCTAGTTCAGCTACAGTTATCAGTTAAACCTTTGCTGTTCAGGAATATGAAGGGGATGGAATTGATTGGACTAAGGTTGAGTTCAAAGACAATCAAGAGTGTCTAGATCTGATTGAGAAGGTAATTTATATTGGTTACTCGTCTAGTTTTTTTTCTTCCATGTTTTTACTTTAAAATATGTCTTATTGCACATATGATTGGTAGTGCAGAAACCCATTGGTTTGGTGTCACTACTAGATGAGGAATCAAATTTCCCAAAGGCCACTGATACGACGTTTGCCAACAAGCTGCAGCATCATTTGAAGTCCAACTCTTGTTTCAGGGGAGAAAAAAGAGGTCGTGGATTCAGAATTAATCATTATGCCGGAGAGGTTAGTTGATAAAACAACTTAAACGTCGCATGTTGTTTAGCTCTTATACCTCCTTGGGTACTTATGAGAGTTTTATTTACACTATGGTGTTTAATTAATAGGTTCTCTATGATACAAATGGCTTCCTGGAAAAGAACAGAGATCCACTACATGTTGATCTTATCCAACTTTTATCATCATGCAAATGTCAATTACTGAACTTGTTTTCTTCTAATATGCATGACAAGTCTCTAAAGCCAGCAAACTTGTCGGAATCCATGAATCAAAGTGTGATTACAAAGTTTAAGGTAACAAGGCTTGAATTTTGCAGTTGTGAACCTTTCTTTTCTTACATTCAACTCACTTTTCTGCTTTACAGAGCCAACTTTTCAAGTTGATGAACAAGTTAGAAGACACCACCCCTCATTTTATTCGATGCATAAAGCCAAACTCAAATCAGCTTCCTGGAGTTTACGAAGAGAATCATGTTCTACAACAACTTAGATGTTGTGGAGTTTTGGAGATTGTTAGAATATCAAGATCAGGATACCATACTAGGATGACACATCAGGATCTTGCAACAAGGTGTGGTCTCTCAACTTTTGATAGATCTCTTGTTACAAATAACTCCTATTCCTAAGCTTTTTTGTCTTTTTAACTTGTGCATGGATTAGATATGGATTCTTACTGGACACAAAACTCTCCCAGGATCCACTTAGCACATCAGATTCTATTATGAAGCAATTCAATCTTCCTCCTGAAATGTATCAAGTTGGATATAGAAAAATATATCTTAGAACCGGGCAAGTAAGTTCTTATTATTACCTAGAGATATATTATGTTGGTTAAGTTTCATGATCTATCTACAGTAGAAAAACTTTCATCTTTGTATCTTAATAGATTGGCTTACTTGAGGAAAGAAGAGAATATGTTCTGCATGGTGTAATTGCATTACAGAAGCAGTTTCGTGGTTATAAGTCCCGTGAATACTTCAACAATATGAAGAATGCAGCATTGATACTTCAGTCTTGTAAATCATTTTACAAATGTCTCATGTTAACTGCATTATATGCTTATTCTTCTTCTCTTTGATTTCTTGGCTAACTTGTTGTGTTGTTACAGATATCCGCGGTGAAATTGCCAGGAGAAACTACATTGTAGTGAAAACACCGGTTAAAGTTTCCTCAGCAGTAACTAAAGAGCTTGATGCAGTCATACACTTGCAATCTGGTAAAAAAAAGGGTATCTTCCTTGTGTTTCCCATCTTGGATAAGATTTTTCAATTTATGCACTCTTTATTGTAGTGGTACGAAGATGGTTGGTTCGTAAGCAGTTAAAGAACAGTGTGGAACTGAAGAAAAAATCACATCACGAGAAGAAAAAAACGAAAAGAAAGTCAAGGAGGAAGGTTTCAGAAGTCAAGGTAATATTTTGCCTAATGTATGTTACTATGTGTCTCTCTCTAACTTTATGACCTTTCTTGTTTAGGACCTTACTTTAGAGCAGTTTCAATTCCAACCTTTGGCTCTTGCTGATCTCCAGAGCCGAGTTCAGAAAGTTGAAACAGCTATAATGCAGAAGGACGATGAAAACACTGCATTAAAGGAGGAGTTGCAACGGTTTGAGGAAAGATGGTTAGAGAATGAGACAAGAATGAAGTTAATGGAGGAAACATGGCAAAAACATATCTCGTCAATGCAGGTAAAGAAACATACTTATCAGCATTTTACATACTTATGATTATAATCCTAAAATTGGAATGTGCCCTTTTGCAGATGAGTCTGGAAGCTGCATATAATATAATGACTCCAGACAAGACTCCAAGTCACGGTAATGACTCGTCAGAGGACACAATGTCTCCTGGAACTCCAACAAAAGAGCTCAAGGGTGATAGCTTGAATAATGATGATGTTAAGGATATTTATGTAGAAGATTATCAACGTAGAGTCATATTTGAGGAAGATGTGAAGCGTCATGTGGAAACAGAATTGGAAAGAGAGTCGATGGCAATGACGAAGCAGCAAGCAGAAGAAGAACTCAGTAGACTCAAGTCAAGATTCGAGAAGTGGAAGAAAGATTACAAAGCAAGACTACGAGGGACAAAGGCAAGGCTCCGGTTAAACGGTGGTCACCGGCATTGGTGGTGCAAGAAAAGCTTTTGAAGTTAGTTTCTCATAATCTCGTGTACCGAAAACTCATATTAGCTTTAGGACTTTTAATCATGTAAATTCCACATTAATCAAATTAAAGATTGATGACGACTTCAGTATTGTATCCTCCAAAAAATACTTGTCTTTTTATCAACTTGAAGGTGGAGGATCTATTTTACATCTATTGTTTAAGAACACCTTAAGACTAACTCGTCCTTTTAAGAACTTTTTGCACACTGTGAATGTTCTTACAGAATCAGCCTTGAGTAGAATTCTTAACCTATGTGTGGAATAGGTCACTCTCTTCTTTAAGCTATCATTTGTTTTCTATTTGCTTTTACTTAATCACAATCAGATATAAAATGGTATACTTACAACGTCCAAATCACAATGCAAAGACTAGTTGCAACATTTTTTATTTTATTTTCTTTCTGACTCCAAAACAAACAAAAAAATGTTAAGTACACACTGGAGAAACGATTGAAATGGCTGTGAAAATGCTAGAATGCTTTTTAATTAACACTACATAGATCCAAATATAGACTTGATTTTTTCCACAATATTGTCTGAACTGGCTACACTGTTGGTCCGGACTCTACTTCACCAGCTGATCCCTTAAAGAGTAAAATGGTAAGGTTGCCAACGGAGAAATGGATGAAGCAGCCACTACAATGAGTCAGGAACGATCCGAAATGCGTCCCCGCAATACACTGCCACCCCAATCCGTATTTTCTATCAAATTCCTGAAAAAAAATTGAAAATGTAAATCAAATATCTTAACATCAGTGACCGGGAAAGCTACTGGTGGAGTTTGTGACAGCATTCAATTTCATAATTTAATTACATCATATATGTAGACGGTAGGTAGAAACACAGGTCTAGTCATGACTTACAACACTAAGGTTCTCATGGTTTTTTAGTTAATAATTATACATTTACAACATGTACATAAACGTGTTTCAGAAAGAAAAAACATGTACATAAACTTTTTATTTATGAACCTTCTTGATAAAACGGGCGATTTGAGTAGGTTCTGTGACATCAAAGCAATCAAGGGCTTTGGCAGCCAAACTAAGAGCATCTTCCTTCATTGTTTGCTTCATATCTGTCTCACCCATCACTGCTTTCCCTTCTAACATCCTTTTACTTTTTTTTTAAAAAAAAGGTGAATATTTAGCTTGAGAAATATAAGAGAACCAAGTGAGTTTATGCAATGTATATATGGGGAAAAAAATGACAGGGTGGTATGTGAATGAAGCTCCTAGATAGTGGTGGAGATTTTGTTGGAACTTACAAGAAGCCTGTTTTGTTTTTTTTGGCTGGTCGTGTGGATTCTCAACCACATGGATTTGCATGGATCGGTGATATGTGGTCAAAACAAACCATGCAATCGATTTCAAATATGAATATATATACAACATATATCATTAGCTATAATCATTGTATTTGAATTTGGAAAAAGGGGTATTCTTATTTGGTCCCAACAATTTTTTTGAATTTTCTTCTCTACATTAGGGCGGGATAATTTTTTTTAGAATAACTTTTTAGTTACACGTATTAAGCTATATAATAGAGTGTAACTATACAAGAGTTTAGTACACATTAAGCTGAGTCCATCTGATCTCCTATACAAAATCATCAGTGTTGGTAACTTGTCATACTAATCCGCATAGCATGTGTTTAAAAACATAACCTAACATGGTATTTATGTTTATATGGACTAATAATAGCACGAAACTGTAACATCATATATCAGACACAAGCAGTCAATGAAATTGTAAAACTGTATGTTATTTAAAATATCAGGACATAAGTTCAAGAATATTTAGAAAAAGAAAATATTTTCACTGCTAATTTGGGATGTTGTAAAGGAAACAAAATGTGAGTGGATATGATTGAACAAAAGCACAATCAAGATTAGAGGACCAAAATGAGTGAAAGGAAGAAGAAGCACAAAACATATGTGGTTTTCCTCCTTCTGGAAGCTAATTCTTCATTAATGAAAAATTCAGATAAACCAAGGAAATTTCGAATGGAAATGTGAATAGAGTTGCTCTTTTTTTCCTTCATCAAATAACTTTCAACTCCATATTTTAGGAAATTAATTGAAATTTGGTTGTTTTTTTTCAAATAAACCAAGGAAATTTCGAATGGAACTTATCATTCCAACTGACGTCAAAATTAATTAAGTCTGGACTCATAAATTAATGTGTACTATCTATTCTATTCACTGCAACAACAAGCTTTTGATTTCTAATTGTTAAATTAAGGGTAATTTTGTTAAATAACCAAAAAATAATAATTAGTTTTGTAGAGAGAAGTGAAGAGAAAGATAGGAAGAAGAAATAGGAGAGAGAGAGAGAGAGAGATTTTGTATAGATATAGTGAATTTAATTTTTCATGTTGTATATTAGACCCAATTTCCCTTAAATTAATGTGTATTATCTATTGATCTAATTAGTAGTGAAATTTCGTTTTTACTTAATTTTTTACAAAAATAAGACAGTTCGTTGCCGACATCTAACAACCATACACCTGTCTTAACCGACGTGTCACTGACCCTTCTTCCCTCATACCAATTCCAAAGCCAAAAATAAGAAACTTTCCAGTTGTCAAAACGAAAAACTTCCGAAAACTATTTGCCAAATTACTTTTATTCAACAAATTGAAGAATTACAGCTTTCGACACCAAATCTTTATCTAAAAATTATCTAAATATAAATAAATTTAGTAAAGAAGACTTTGCCGCCTTTCTCTCTTTACCTCACGACGTGTTACCCCTTTTTTTTCTTCCTCCTCAAGATTCCCAACTTCGCTGACAATCTCAAACCTTTTTTCGGGTAAAAAAAAAAACATCTTTCTTGATTCTCTGTTTTCGTTTTCTTTCTCCGCTTTTCCCTTCTTTCTAAAATATCTCTTTGGGAGGCGAAGAGACGGGCAGTTTCCTCCGATGTCGCGCCGTCTTTTCGCCTGTTTTCGCGGCAAGAAACCCTCATCCTCCTCCACGAGTAAACCTAACTCCGGTAACAACTCCGCCGCAGTCTCCGCTGACGTTCCTGCCGGAGACGGACCCGTTCTCGTCCAGCTTTTCTCGTCGCAGGGATGCAAAACGTCGCCGGCGGCGGAGATGCTGATGTCCAGGCTCGGACGAGGAGATTTCGACGGTCAGATCCGTGGAGGAGGAGGAGAAGACGGTGGTTCTGGATCTCCGGCGATGGTTCTGGTCTTCCACGTTGATTACTGGGACTACAAGGGTTGGAAGGATCCGTACGGGTCAAGCCAGTGGACGGTGAGGCAGAAGGGGTACGTGGAGGCGTTGAATCTTGACACGATGTTCACTCCGCAGATTGTAGTCCAAGGAAGATCTCAGTTGAACGAAAACGAGGAAGAGACTCTGCTTAAATCTATCTCGGAAGCTCCTAGGTTTCCTTCTCCTGCCTTCAAGGTTAGTTTAATTATCTTCTTTTAAAACCTAATTAAGATGTTTTGGTTTTAATGATGAACAGTCTTTGATTGCTTTGAATGTGGTGGCAGAGATTCACACATTTAGGTTTAATAGCAGATTCTTGATGAGGACTAGGAGGAATTAGGTTTATGACTGGATTAGAACTCATGTTTATGTGGTTTCAAAGTGATTGGTCATACACTGAACAAATATTATGAAATTTGAATTCCTCCCCAAGTGAGACTTGCATTGTAAGTTACTATGATTAGCTCTCTAAGTTACACAGAGTCAGATGCAAGTGGTCGCAATAATGTATTCTTGAAGATAGTGTATACGTATATGAAGTTTTCACAATAGGTTTAGCTTATGACAATAGAATAAACAAGTTTTGGTGATAGCTAAGTTGCTGACTAAACTAAACATATTCTATGATAAATTCTTGATTCATACTCTTCTTCTTGTAAACGTGTGTTCTACTACATAGCTAAGTTTTTTTTTAGTTAAGATAACATACCATTGTGGCTTTCTTTGATCAGTATTTATGTTAAAATTGGTTATACTATCTCTCTTTTGTACCAGGCGAGTTTCCAGAGACCAACCTCAGAGACACTGCAAGTATCACTAACGGGAGCTTTGAGGATGAAAGTAGACGGGAACGGGCTAGACATAATGGTGGCGTTATATGAAACGGGGCTAGTGACAGACTGTGAGAGAGGAGAGAACGAAGGAAGAATGTTGTCGAATGACTACGTTGTAAGAAAGATGGAGAAGATGTGCACTGTCAAAGACGTAACAGCCAAGAAGTCAGTGTCCGGGACTGCTCATTTCACGCTCTGGGATGGATTCAACAGCAGTAAATGTGGTGTCGCCGTCTTTGTTCAGAACTCTTCTCTTCACATCTTTGGTACTCAGAGTTTTAAGTTGCCTGATGAGATTTGAGTTATCCCCTTATAATCTGGAAACTTTTCCTTTAAATGCAATCTGTTTGTTTTTTGTCGCTCATATTTTTTGCTGTGTGACTCCATTCTCTCTAGTGGAATTACTGTTTGTATAGTGATATGTGTGACTCTTTCTTTAGGTCTTATTATATGTTTTGATTTCAACTTTATATTATTCTAACCATTTCTCGTGCTTATTTATCTAAAAGTTCTGAGTTGAGCTTTTTCTTACAGTTTACAATCCTTTTGTCTTTCTGTTTACCAAAGCCGGTCCTGAGGGTTGTTGAATGTGGTATTGAAAATTCTAATGTGAGTTACACAATATGGATAAACTCTTCCTCCTTAAACCCTCATATGTGGAAGAAATTACAGACACTCAACTGTTATCGTAGTATAACGGACATGAAAAGATAATGCATAAACTTAGATGATACATGCAATAAGCCAAATAACACAAAAATAAATTAACCATAGTTTACTGAATTGCCTACAAAACACACAAAAACTCTATAAGAATATCTAGCATTTAAAAACTCTAGTGTTATCTAACTCGCGAGCTTAAACCCAATAAAAGCAACTAAGCAGAATACCACAATCTAATATAAGAGGGATATTCTATTATACCTTCTGAGCTGAGCGTCTTCTCCACTTCTCCTCCATGGATCCTCATACCAGGGTAAAGTAGCCTTTCTAAACCATTTCATTCACTGACCAGACAACCAAACCCCCCAACTAACTAACTACTGAATCAAAGTAGATTCAAGGCATATATATGAACATCATGTAAATATGTTCCAGAAAAGTGTTACAAAAAAAAGTATTATGTTGTGATTGAATTTCAGTTTATGTTTTTACTCTCAGCGACATCGCTCGTTTTTTTTTTTTGGATATCTCACCACTTGGAAACGACGACGTTCCATTGGCTGTAAACCAAAACTAGAACGTGGGAAGACGAATCTATAGTCCCAATCTCAAAACAGTGATATCATCTCTCCCCTCCTCACCGATAAAATCTCTGATGCGCAAACGCGGGAAATGAGACCTTCACTGTCCCAACAGTAAAGCTAAACCCGAATCAAACGTGATGATGTCAAAGCTATCTCTTTTCCGAACAAATTCACTTCCTTTCCCACTCTTATCCTCCTACTCCGCCCTTTTCATCCATAAACCCTATCCCACGCCTCCTAAAACCCTCATCCTCTGCTCCTTCTCCACCGTCCCCTACGGCCCGTCTCTTCTCAAAGGTAAGAAGCCTTCCCTCAACGACCTTAGATTAGCTTCAACCCGTCGAGACAGAGACGCCCATCGACGCAAAATCGTAGCTTTCGAAGAATCGGATGATCCTCTCCTCGACGAAGACGAATTCACTAGGGTTTTCGAGATATCCGCGGTTCGAGTCCCGGCGAGAGACTGTTTCGCGTTAGAGAATCGTCTCCGTGGCCATCTCCTTAACTGGCCTAGGATACGGAACATCGCTAGGGTTCCTGGGGATGAGATCGACGAAGACGTGGTGAAGCTATTGGGACGTGAGAGTAGTGAAGAAGACGAAGAAGAGAGTGTTGTTGATTCTGTTGATAGGAGGATAAGAGGGAGAGCAGAAGGGGATGGGGAGAGATTGAGTCCTGTGTTGTATAGAGATCAGCTTGCTAAGACGTTTAACTCGACTGGGTTTCTTAAATTTAGAAACTTGGCTAAGATTTCTAGACCTAAGAGGAGGAGGAAGACAGAGAGGAAAGAGGGGAAGGAGAAGGTTAAGAAAGGAAGTAGTCGTAATGAGTTTGCTGTGGTGGAGGTT